CTGTAGTAAATATACATTTGCTTCATCGACAATCCCACCAAAGAATGTGACATGGAAAAATGCCTGACCTTCCTTGAAATGCACATCTTCCCTGTGAGCCAAGTCACACGTCCGCAATGTGGTAGAGTGGTTAACGTGTCAAGCTACCATCCTGAACTGTGGCGGTTCGACTCCCGCTGAGGGTGGTGACAAGACCGAGGCGAGATCGAGACTGCAGTCCACTCCAGTCGAGATGAGGACAACTTTTGGGAAAGCAAGGTTATGTGAAATGGAATGGAAGAGTTCGTATGCCGTACCTGAATGACTACTTGGCAATATGGTGGCATGGAGGAGAAAAGTTGCAGGATTTCCTGACGTTTATGAACCGGATTGATGCAAAAATCACATTGACAATGGATGCAGAGGAAGAGGTGTGTGTGGCGTTGCTTGATGTGTGGTACACGGAAGAGGAGATTGTTCCGAAAGAAGTCTTATGCCGGAATAATACTCCATTTCGAGTCTCATCCTAACTGCAGAAGGAAGACAGCCATACCGAGGAGCATGATGATGCGAAGCCTACGAGTGATGGAGGTAGAATTCTGGCAGGAAGAATTGGACTCGATTATGCCTTGGCAACTGGTACCCGAGAGAAGTAATGCAAAGAAAGATACCGGCCGTGAAGAGCCGATGGCAGGACGGAGATTATGAAAGAATGAGAAAGATGGAGACAGACTCACAAAAGTGGATATGCCCCCCCTTCTTGCGAACTAGCTCAAAAAGTACTGCCAGTAGTTAGAAAATGGAATATTCACGTGATCGAGGAGGAAAGAACAACCCTTTTCCCAAGTCTACCCACGCGACATGAGAGGGTGGACAAAAAGGATTGCTCGGGAGTTTACTGCATCACATGCAGTGCCTGCGAACAGAAATGTATTGGCAAAACTGGGAGAAAAATTGGCACACCAATCGCGGAACATCATACGACGGAAGCTTGGGCTGGCATCGCAAGGAAGAAGAGGATGAGGAAGTTTCGAAAATGGCGCGAAGATGTTTTCAGTGAGTGCAGTCAGTTCGAATAAACAAATGACGTGTCACGTGGTTGGACAGAGAGTTTGGGTCACATAAATTGGGCAGCAGGCGAGCAGAGAAAGATGCCGACAATTTGTTCAGGGTTCACGGATTTCACGAAGCAGATGAGTCGTGAAGATGATGCATGATGTCTGCAAGCATGGGAATCACAGCCTGAGCGACCTGTAGATGAGCATAGCAACTGGAGTGATGGTAGGCTGGGCCTGGAACCGAGTGAAATCGGTCAACCAGAAAGACGGGAAACGCACTCACGGTTCCTGAGGTAGATCCGGAAAGGAGGAACATGTTGGAGGCCACTCGAAAGGGAGGAGAGCAAGACAAGCGTGAAATGTGATGAGGCCACGGCAGATTCGCCTAAAGGACACATGTCTTGTGGAATAGAAACGGGTCGGCAGTTGTGATAGGACAGGGGCGAGACTGGAGGGTGGGAGATGGGCAGAGGACGAGGAGAAAACGAGGAGATTCAACAGAGAGTTGGTCAAAGGATTGACTTCTCTTGCCTCTTTGACGAGTTTTACTTTGTTAG